AAAAAAAGAAAGAAAGAAAGAAAGAAAGAAAGAAAGAAAGAAAGAAAGAAAGAAAGAAAAAGAAAGAAAGAAAAAGAGAAAATAAGGTTGGGCAACCAGAGAAATGACTGGTGTCCTGAGGGAGGCGGTATCATACGGTGGAGAAGTGAGAAGAGAAGCCAGACTCAAGGAGAAGTGAGCCGGAGGAGAGAAAGTCGCTTCCCCCAGGCAGCTTGGCTGGAAGGGGAGAGGTGATGCTGGGTGGAGGCTGGTGGGGATGCTGGTTCGAGAGTAAGTGTTCGAACCTGGGAGCTGGCCCTCACTCTGATGAGCATGACGTCCACCCAGGCCCCTGTTCCTCTCCTGTGGCCACAGGGCATGAATCTCTCCGGGGGCCAGAAGCAGCGACTGAGCCTGGCCCGGGCCGTGTACAGGAAGGCCGCTGTGTATCTGCTGGATGACCCCCTGGCGGCCCTGGATGCCCACGTCGGCCAGCAGGTCTTCAACCAGGTCATTGGGCCCGACGGGCTGCTCCAGGGAACAGTACGTTTGGGAAAACGTGTCAAAGTTCACAGGGCAAAGGCAGGGGAAGTCCTAACCCAACCCTCTCCTCAAGTCCAGTTTTCGTCTTTATAGTGGTCAGCTTTTGCTCTGACAATGCTGCCTAACAAACACCCCCCCGATCCCTGTGGCTTGCGACAGCAGTTATTTCTTGCTCATGGGTCTGCGGTTAAACTACTCCAGCCGTACCTCAGGTCACCGGCCAGGTTCAGGGAAACCCTGTGTCTTGTTTCAAGACACAGGTTGAAGGAGCCCCTCTATTTCTCCACCGGAACATAGAGAGAGAAGGCGGGAGGACAAGAAGGGGAGCTCCTCCCACACACGGCCCCAGGACGCTGCCTGCCCCTGAGCCCCCAGCTCTGGATGACTGGTCAAACACACCAGTGTAACCTCTACCCCTTCTTTTCCCAGACACGGATTCTCGTGACCCACGCACTCCACGTCCTGCCCCAGGCTGATTGGATCGTGGTGCTGGAAGACGGAGCCATTGCAGAGATGGGTTCCTACCAGGAGCTTCTACGCAGGAAGGGGGCCCTGGTGGGCCTTCTGGATGCAGTCAGAAGGCCAGGAGATAGAGGAGATGGAGGTACGGGCTGGGCTTTGCTGGTTCTCTGTTGCCGGGATCCTGCACCCCCTTGAGGAGAAGGCTCCAAGGATCCCACAGGCATGCCTGGAAGGCTCTGGCCACACCCTTCATGGGAGCCCAGGCCTTGAAGCAGACAGCTCTCTGGAGAGGCCACCCAACCCCCCAGTTAGAGTGAGCGACACCTTCTGTGAGCCAAGGAGAGTGCTAAGTTCATTGGATCTGTCTTATGAGGCATGTGCCCTTTTGGTTGCCATCTTACTAATGAACAAACTGGGGCAAAGGCAAGTACTTTTTCTGAGGTCACAAC